TTCTCCCCCGAAGGAAGCCTTTTACACAGCTTGGTGTAAGGACCCTGTCGTGCCCATTACCATTCACTCAATTTGCTTGACATCAGTGGGGCCCACAGCACACCTTGAAGTGTAGAAAGATGAGGCCTGGGACTGGCTCTATTGGGTCTGACCTTTCCTTCAAGGCTGGCAGGGATGGTCCGGGAGGTTGCTGATTTCCACCTGGTCCTGTGTTCCTTCCTAGCACATCTTGTACATGTACATCTCCTGTAACCACTTCCAGCACCTTGTAATTTAAGCCTAAATACAGATCAGCTCATCTGGTCAGGCTAAAACAGGTCACCTTTCAGACACTGCCAAAATCACTATCACTTAAATTCTCTTCTACACGGACAGCCACTTTTGTGATCCAAACATCCTAGCCTCTGAGGCTGCAAAGTTGCCATTCTGAGTATGAGGAACAATATGAAAAACAACCTCGTGGACGCCTAGGCTGTAAATGGAAAAAGCTGAAATGGAATCTTCTCAAAATCCTTCCAGGTTAAGTAAGCTGTGGCGTGATTTTTAGCTGGTGGTGAAGTTAACTAGGTGGAAGGAACCCTACCCATTTTTGAGGACGTTCATTGTTGGATATTGGCATATGTAAAGGCATTATCTGTCCTTTAATCTGGTTGACTCCTTGTCCAAATAACAAGAAACTCTTTGTGGGTGGTCTTGCCTAATTCAGTATCTGACAGAAACAGGTCAGTCAGTATAGTTTCCTGGAATGCTAGTGAGTGATTTAAATCTGTAGCAAACATTGAAGGTTTCCTCACTAGTTCCAAAATCCTAACTGCTGTTTGCCATAGGATAGTAAAGAGCTGCCCGCCCTGCTGTCCACCGTACCATACTTTCTCCTCATAATGTACACCAAGCTTTCTTTATGTTATATATATTTTATAACACCCTATCCATATCAAAAAGCAATCAATGTTATCTCTGCTATTCAGAAACCTTCACTGCTTACAAACTTTATCTTCCGACCTTATTTGTTTGGGGTCAAAATCTATGCTCAAAGTCATATCTGCTTTTGTTTCCTGACATGCCATGGACAAATATTTCTTGAGAACACTGTAGGCCTTAGATGAACAAAACCTATTTGCCTGTTTCATTTCTCTTTCCAAAACTCTTTAGCCATTTCACTTCTGAGGCCCAAACATCTCTAATTTTGTACCGTCTACTCTAAAGGGACAACAATTGCTCTAAGGTAGAAGGAATTGTTAACTTTAGTGTGTCACAGAACCCTCTGGCAGTCTGTTGGAGTCTAAAGGACTCCTCAGAATGATATTTTTAAATGCACAAAATAAAATATAAAGGATTACAAAGGAAAACAATTATATTGAAATAGTTATCAAAAATTGTTTTAAAAAAAAGTTCATGGACCCCAAGTTAAGAAACCCTGCTCTAAGGACTATATGCAGGAGAAATGACATATCCAGAAGATTTTTTAAAAGCATAATTCAGAAGACAAATACCCTATCCCCCCCCCCAAAAAAAGTATTTTATTTGAAGTAGATTTGGCTGAGAGGCTGTGTACAGCAAGGAAGACTTAGATTCAGTGCCACCTCTGACATATTCTGGCTGTTTGACAGTGGGCAAACCACTTGGCCTCTCAGTGCCCTCTCCCTGCCCATCCTGGCCTCCCCCCCCCCTCAGAAACCTGTTAAGACCATCAAAGTGGCAAAATAGTTGTAAATATGCATTAGTAGATGGGGTTTCCTCACCAGAAGTTTCCTCTACAAATGAAATCAAAGTCTAGTTGGAAAAAAAATAAATGAAGACTTGGCTAAATGGATAGAAAAAGTGAAGAGTTGGCCGCCTGAGCAGAGGAGGTTTTCTTGCTCCTCCCCTGACGCTCTGAATGATGGCAGTAAGGGCTTATGCAAGGGTTTATCCACCTGGACTAATGTTTCCTGTACTTTGCACTGAAGTGACCTTTCTACACGTGCTCATGAATGAATAACCCCATGTCCACATATCCATCTCAGTCATCTTTAAAAAGAGATATACCCCACTTCCTGTCTCCATGCCTCGGCCTTGGCTGTCCTCCAGCCCTGGCATACCCTCCCGCATTAGCACTTCCCCTGGAACCCCCCAGCACAAGGGCCATCACCTACAACTGAAGACTTTCCTCATCCCTCCAGCTAGTTCCCTCCCCCTCACCAAAAGTCACCACACACACACACACACACACACACACACACACTTTTGTTGTTCAGTCATTTCAGTCGTGTCTGACTCTTCGTGGCCCTATTTTTAAGAAGATTAGTCTAGTAGCAGGATAAATTTAGACAGAAATTCAATTTATAAAGATGAAATATGAAATGTGAGGTGATTAGGACCTATATTTGAGTCCATCAGGTTGTGGGAATAGAGGAAAAGGAATAAATTTGAAAAACATTTTGAATGTGGCACTCCCTGTCAGAGAGCCTCCAAGAAAAGCTTAAAGATCCATTTTTTTGAGGCACTCTGTGGATCAAATGAGCCCCTACTGATGTATCAACTTTTATCAATTAGAGGATGTATTAGCTGAAAGCAAAAGACATTTAAATAAACAGCATAGCAAATATGTCTTTAATATTCTTCTCTTGTTATATTGCTGAGACTAACATTTTTGGAATTATATCAAGTAATTGTGGGAAGAAAGAGCACTCTTGCTTTACTCAGTATTGAAAATTAAGGTAAAAAGATCTCCCAAGCACAGATAGAATATGTTCTTCCACAAGTACCACATCATGGAGAAGAGTATGATCAAAGGGAATATACATGACCAGAGAACATGGGTGGAAGGAAAATAGGGAGGGAATGTGTCTGAAAGAGCGCATGCCAGGAACCCATATGGCCAGAGCACATTGCTAGAGGGCACACATGTCAGGATCCCACGTGAACCTGTGTCATCACATATGACAAGGCCTACTAATACCTCTGATGCTCCCTACAGTTCTCTGGTGATATCACTGTGTGGATCTCCACATAGTCCATCATCACTTCTGGGCATCAGGTATTTGTACTGAGCATCCTATCTCTGCTCTCTGACAGGTGCTGCATTGTAAGTGCTTGGGTATTTCTCATCACTGAACTTCTCTCTATTACCACCTCCTGAATTTCAGCTCCTCAAAGCCTCTCTCCTCCCATTAACAATGGTAGAAGGGCTAGAAAGTTGCTTTTTAACAAGGGTGGGCCGAGCACTTTTAATGGAGAGGAGGTAGGGCCAAGCCACTACAGCTAGCCACACAGCCAACAAAAACCAGGCAGAGAGTCACCAGGCTGTCATTAATTGTATCCTTTTAACTCCTGGGTCCGAAGCAACTTCAAAGTTCATGGTTCCAGACAACTATCTAACTCAGGATTAGAAAATTCCTTCTAAATACTGCTACATCCCTGATTGGGATTCTGTATTTCTAAAGCTCAGCTGAGGGACTCCACCAGAGAAAAACCAAAAGAGCTATGGAAAGTTTGGGGTATCACGGTAAATCTCATTTCCAAGAACATCCTTCGGCAGACAAATAAATGATGATAGCATCTGGGGAGCCAGGAAAATATTTAGGTGAAGAACTCCATTTGGTGTTTTCTTAGCACAGATACTGGAGTGTTTTGCCATTTCCTTCTCCAGTTCATTTATAGATGAGGACTTGCCAAGGGTCACACAGGTCTTCCTGACTCCAGGCCTGGCACTCTATCCACTGCACCACCTACCTGCCCCATATGTACTAGAATGTGAATGAGGGAGTGAGATCTGCTCAACCAAACCCATGGGCAGCCACCACAAAGTGATGGCAAACATCACCACTGGGAATGAATTGTCATGCCTAATCTTACTGGTCCTTCCATCTATATGGCTAAGAAGAGTTAAATCTATTAAAGGAAAAGTACTTATGGATTACCTATTACTTTTTATTCTATTTACTAGCCTTATGGACCAGTTCAGTGGGAACTGCCTTGAAATACACACCCCGCTCCCTACCCCTGCCAAGGAGATCTAGCAAATGGATGCTAACATGTTAATTACTTCTAGCTACTTAAACAAAGCTTCACTGAAGTCCTCCTCTCATGCCTCCCTGTGGATGGGGGTGACTGTGGCTGGTCAAGGGCTGTACCAACAGACCCGAGTTCTCCAAGGCCTACTTTCCAGAAAAACTTTGGGCACAGACAATGTATTACCTGACAACCACAAACATGGCTAAACTCAAAAAGGTTTATCACTAGATTCATGGAAGGATGATAGATATTTTGGCTACATCAACTCAAAAAAGCCATCCACTAACATAAAAAGGAGTTATAATCTGCATTGGTAGAGGGAGAACCCACAGCACGGAAATCGAACTTTGAAGAACTGAAGTAAACTGGGCAATGTTCCAGTCTCCACTGCATTACTAATTTCTTAAAGCACCTAGGAATCAATTTTTGCTGTCAATCAGTCAGTCTAGGACAGACCTAAGATACAGCCTTTGGTACAACCACAGTTAGCAGGCATGACCTGGATGAAGATCCAGCAAAGGAGACTGAGATAGATTGGGGGAGGATGAGGAGAGAGTGGTGTCCTGAAAACCTAGAGAGAAGAGGGTATCAAGGAGAAAAGGGTGATCAACAGGGTCAAAGGCTGCAAAGAGTCCAGAAGGATGAGGACTGCTTGAGAAAAGACCAATGTTATAATGGGCAAGTCCAAGAAGCTATATACTCAGCTAAAACACACCCTAGATTGGAGTCCCAGCAGCCCTATTCCTTCCCGCTAGAGTAAAGCTGTCTGAATTATCTGACCTCACGATCTCTCTCTCGGGACAGGTAGTTTTTGGAGCTACTAAGTAGGTCTCTAGATACTTAAGTATTTTACAGTTGAATTGACTAACGCTCTCCTGCATGTTGAGGTATAAATATAAACCAGACACACTTTGATGTGCAAACAAACCAACCCAAAATTATTGTGATAACACACATAGCACGTATGAGTGAAGGAATAATAGTACTGATGATCAAGTACCCACTTTTCAATTTCATGTTCTCTAAAGGCCCACTCCTTCCTTTCCATGTCATTCATCATTTTCCTCCTTTTATTGAATAATGCGCCATTACTCAGAGGTGGAAGGGTGGCTTCCCAAGCACGTTTCTCTCTGGCACGTTCAATCATCTCTACTTCGGCTAGTCCTGCTGGAAGTCCCCGACCTTTAGGATAAAACAATAACAATACTTCACAAAGAAACATTACAAAATGTCGTGAAGAGGGGCAGCTAGGTGGCATAGTGGATACAGCACCGATTCTGGAATTAGGAGGACCTGAGTTCAAATCCAGCCTCAGACACATAACACTCACTAGCTGTGTGACTCTGGGTAAGTCACTTAACCCCAAATGCCTCACCAAAAAAAATAAATAAATAAAATGTCATGAAGCAAAGATGTTTATTTGTCTATTTTACTCATACTTGTACTGCTCTCACCCCTAACTGAGGAAAACAAGAATGTAATATATATTTTAACAAATGCCATTATAATGTCAATTCTATAAAATGAAGTTAATGTCTATGTCCCAGACATGAGTCTATACTAGCACTGCTTTGTGTGTGTGTGTGTGTGTGTGTGTGTGTGAAAAGAGAGAACAAACTATGTTTGAATAAGACTCTATGTTAAATCCTTGTTCATTTTGCAATCACTACATTTAAGACATCCTTTTTGGCATGGCAGTTATTTAGATTAACTGTATCTGACTAACGTTTTAATGAGTACTAAACTTTTAAAAGTTTTATTGTTGCCTTTTTTGTTATCACATTTCTAGATATACTCTTCCCCCTCTATCATGCACATGCCCAACGACCCTTTTCTTTTAACTATTTAATGTTAAACAGTCTTTATAAAATCTGCACTGGTGATATGTGAAGGTGGTGGGTATAAATTGCCGGGGTTAGAAGGCTTTGATGGTGCTCCTCTTCTTAGAGCTTCCTGTCTACCTGAGCCAGACTCAGCCACTGCCTTCTACTTGGAAGGTCCTTTCTGCCCTTCTGTTTGTCCCACAGGTCAGATCCAGCCCTTGACTTTATTTGGATCATGTGGTAAGCTACCGGTCACCATTACCACAATCTAGGTAAAAATGTATCCCTGTGAGTTGCTATGGCTATCAGATAAACATCAAAACTTCAGGGCTTAGATTCTTATAATCCAGACACTGCTCAAATTCTTAGAATCTAGCCAATACCTCACAGATTCTCAGATTCCTCAAGAGTCTAATATTAATATAGTGGATCTTTAATAAACCTTGTCTTTGGCTGAAAACAAAAATACTTCTGAGAGATTAACAGTACATCCAAGCCCCCAGCAGAAGCAAATTCCAGAAAGGAAGCAAAAGCTCAGGTAAGCTTTGATTAGTTACTCCCCAAGTCCTTGCCTTGCCTCCTGGCCCCATTATACACTTTAGTATATTCTCTCCTAGCTCTCCTTGGTTAAGATTAAATCCTTCCTTGTTACAAAAGAAAAACATTTTTTTTAAAAAGCATGAGATACAGTGATTACCATGTGACAATATAGATACAATATCCACTCCCAATAATTACAATGCATTGGGGGGGGCGGGAAGGAAGCTGGGTGGATGGGTTAGATGGCATCCTTTAAATGGATGTTTGCATGTTTCAAAACAATGGCATCAGAGGTGACTATTTCTTATCAGAACGTAAATACATTTGAGCAATATTTTTTTCAAAATATTGGTTATTTGCGGTAAACAGTGTTTGAGGAGTGGAAAAGTGGAAAGAATACAGAACTAGGTGTTGAGACACAGATTCCAGTCCCAGCTCTGCCCCTACCAAGCACACAGGTGGCTTTGGGCAAGCCACTGACATCTCTGAAAATGGGCTTCCTTCTCTGTAGAATGATGGTATTAGCTCTCTAAGGTCCCTAATCCCCCTAAAATTCTAAAGTAGAGTTGGTGGCAGCTGTAAATGACAGGGCACTGTCATTTAGTGTAATTATCTAAGATCTACAAGCTTAACAAACTTCCTGAAGCACCTTCAAAATGCTGTTAATTATCATATCAACCACCACATCAATTACCTATAAAACCAGCTTTTTAATCTTCTGACACTATTGCCCTCAGCCATAACTTGGTTATTGCTCCCTCTCTGCCTGTTGACTACATTTAGAGATGCTAGTGATGCTAAAAAAACAAAAATGAAAAGTACCCCAAGATCAGCATCCCCACAAATGTGGGGCCCCAAAACTCCTCTAGGTTCTGCAGCCAGTCTGTTCCTGCCACTTCCTACTTGTGAAAGTGCAACGAGGCCTCTCTCTTCCCTTCTCTCCACTCCGTCCAAGTTCTGTCCATTCCCTCAAGAGGCTGCCCCTTGCCACTGTCCAAATCTGCTCTCAGAACCAGATGCAACAAGGTGGGTTATTCTAGCACTAGCTAATTCACTGTAAAAAATGGAAGGAACTGCATGAAAGGGAAGAGAGCAGATAAAATCAAAGATGTCTTTTCATAGCTCTTGGAAACAGACATTACTCCGCCCCCCCCACCTGAAACTTTCTCATCTCCTACCTATACCCTCCAACTTGCCATCAAAAACAAACAACTCAGGCTGTCTACACTAATTTTACAGGTTGGCAATAATTCAGTCTCTTCATCTAATCCAAATCCAAGCCATTCCCACTGAGATCTCACTCTCCACATCTTTAGGTAAATCTGGCATCTTTCCCTTAGCCCCTTCCAAATACCAAAGGCACCTCATTATTGAACTGACATAGTTAAAATAAGACTAGATACTGCCATTCCAGCAAAACCACCAGTTCAAATTCTTTAACAAAAATGGACCACTAAGAAAATTTCAGTAAAATTTTTAGAAAAATATATCAAATTTTACTTAAAAATTTTAACACTAAAAATGTTATTGCTCCATATATGCCAAAGGATTTATAGCAACCTCTTTGGGGGGGGGGGCAGCAAAGAACAAGAAACAAAGTAGATGCCTATCAACCGGAGAACAGCTAAAAAGTAATTGTGGTACATAGATGTAAAGGAATTACCTGCTATAAAAAACAATAAATATGATGAATACAGAGAAACATGGAAAAGCTTACATGAACTGATGCACAAAACCAAGAAAACAATATATACAAATTCAACAAGGTGATGAAAGAAAGAACAAGCCTTGCTCCAAAGAAGAGATATGAGAAGATATCTTCCCCATTCCTCTGCAGACATGGGGGCTCCATTCAGTGTCTAGAACACTGACTATATTGTCAGACAATGTACTGATCTACTTTACTGATTTTTTTTCCCCATTCTTTCTCTTTTTCTCTTGTCTTTAAAAAAATCCCTTCTCACATCAGTCCTTCTTCCACTTAACTGTCAAATTAATCTTCCTAAAGTAAAGGTCTACCATGTCACCACTCCCCTCCCATTCAATAAACCACAATGGCTCCCTATTACCTCTAGGATCAAATAGAAATCCTATGTTTGGTATTTAAAGCCCTTCATAACTTGGCTCACTCTTACCCTTCCAGATTTCTTGAAGTGGCACTGGTTACTTGCTTTTCTGTGTACAAAGCACTTCATCTTGTGACTCCGGGCATTTTTACTGGTTGCTCCCCATACCTGCAATTCTCTCCCTCCTCTTCTTTTGCCTTCTCCCTTCCCTGGCTTCCCTCAGGTTCCCAATAAAAATCCTACCTTCTGCAAGAAGCCTTTCCAGATTCCTTTTAATACTAGTACCTTCCCTCTTTTGACTATCTAGAATGTATGTTATATATCTCCTTTGTACGTAAGTTGTTTACATGTTGTCTCTCATTAAACTGAGCTCCCTGACAGCAGGGACTGTTGTGTTTTTTGCTTTTTTTTCCCCTTTCTGCAGTGCTTAGCACAGTTCTTGTAACACAGCAGGTGCTCAATAAAAGCTTGTTGACTTTATTTAATACGCACACATGAATATACACTCAAAAAAAAGCTGATTCTTGGAGAACGTGGACTGGTAAACAGGAGATACTAAGTGACTGGATAGGAAAAACCGAAATGAGAAAGAGAGGGTGGTTTAGAGAGTGAATGAGTATGTGGGAGAGAATGAGTGGTAAGCAAAACAACCAAAGGATGTTTGTGAAAATTAATTTTGATCACCAAGAGACAATAACGGGTGGCAAGGTGGCAATCTTTGCACAAAGTCCTATGAGAGACTGAATCTTAAAAGTAGCTGTACACAATGAGAGCCTCCAAGCAGCAGCTACAACATAAGTAAAGGCAGCCTTCATGCATCTACAGTGGAGAAAGAATAGTGGGCCGTGCAAGGGTCGTTGCTAGGACCTCACTCCCTATATCTGAACATACAGTTATCCATCAGCAGCAGGAGTCACGTGCAAATTAACTTACCCCAAGTGAGAGTAGCCAGGGTCAAGATCTCGGGGATGGTGTCCTGGCACACTACATATTCTGGTGTGTATGGATCTGTTTGGGTTTCACTATCCCGATAATCTGTCTGTGTGCCTTGAGTACGTACCAAATCAATTTTGGGCTGCTTTTTGGGCACGGAAACATAATTGTATGCATCTTGCCTGAAAGGTAAAAAAGAAAGAAAAAAAATTAAATCATGTTAGCATCATTTAGAATACCCAACAACACAAACAGGAATAGGAGTTAAAAGTCAGACTCTGAGAACATATTGGCCTATTTGCTCTTCAACTCAAAGAGATATACAGTAATCTACTCTTCCCTGGAGGGAAGAAAACCCTCTCTATTTCTCTTTCAGATTCTTCAGCATGACTAGGGTTCAGCCCAACTGTCCCTGAAGAACTTCCCTGCTATCTCCGCATCTGCATAACAACTGAAAAAAGTCATCTCCTCACTTACTGAATTGAGGGGCAGGATGAAGGGAGCAGGAGAGGAGATAAGGAAGTTGAAAGGAGGCCATTTATGAATATAAAATGCGCATTCTGGGTGCCACAGGAAAACCTTAAAGTACAGTATAATCCCTCAAACTACATGCTCTCCAACTTCTTACCTTCCCTCCCATGGTCATACTCCCAAATTTAGCTAATCTCCACCCCTCCCCAACCCAGTGCAAGGACAGAGAAGGGAGAACACAGTATGCCTTCTATAGAAACCTATTTCTTCCTCTAAGTAGTGGAGTATCGGTCTAATTATAGAATATAAGCCATAGCTAGCTAAAGTGAATGGCAGGTGTCATATAGTGGATGGCCCAAAAGTCTTAATGCAGTTTTAAGCTGCCCTATATATAAGCACAAGATAGATGACTTTGCATATATGTATATATATGTATATATACATACATATACACATATGTACGTATGTGTTATTATAGATGAGCACATAGTATATTCATTATACTGTCAAACTACCAAATAGGAATCAAAAGAGTGGCTTTTTATTTTTCCATCTAGAATAATCACTGGTAATATTCGGTAATATATATTTGGTAATATATATTCAAACATGCAAAGGAGGACTTAATGAATCCCTCCAGTCTAGATTCCTGATGTATGACCTATCAATTACACTCCAAAAGATTTGATGGATACCAAATAGTACTGCTTCTATGATATAATTTCTAAAACAAAATGACAAATACTTTTCCTTTCTTGACCACCTTCTTGGTTACTCACCTTAACTACCAAATTGCTCCATTTTCTCATTCTGGTGGGTTTTGGAGGAGGGAGAATTAGGAGCTAGATAACACAACTGGTTCAGTAGCTGTCAGGTTTCTTCAAGTTTTTCCCTTTTCTTCCCCATCTCATGACCCTACTGGCCAAGTGAATTCTGAAGCCGACCAGCTAAACTATAGGTCAGTGTGGCATATAAAAGAGGCAGGTCTAAAGATGGCAATACTTTTGTGCTCGTCTGCTCCTCTGGTTCCTTGCTCAGCTTGATCTCTGCTATATCTCAATACGTTTGCTGCTGCTGCTTTTGCTCCCTTCTCTGGTCCAGCTTTTGCCTGTCTGTTAACTTACCACAGACTTGGTAATAAAGACATTCATGGTTTACTCTGCCCATTACCTTCCAGCTTTGTTCTTCCAGTCCCAGTAACTTAAAAAAATTCATAAAAGAAGGACCACCTTGAAAAGCCAGTGAATGCTATGGTTCCATTTGAAGGTTTAACTAATCTTTTTTCACTATAACACACTGTGTATTTATCACCTGAGCTAAGTTCATTCCACCTGAATATGAAAGCTTTGCATTTCAACTCACCCATTTTCTCTTTGGGTGCCCTTCTTAAGTGTATAAATACAAGTCTCACCTCTTGGTCCTTCAAAACTGCCTGCTAGACAGCTCTTCTTCTATATCTCATAGGCATTTCAAATTCAACATGTCCAAAAATAGAACTCATTTTCTTTCCCCCTCCCCCCAACTCACGACTCTTTGTAGTTTCCCTGCTTCTATCAAGGGCAGGCACTACATCCTCAAAGTCACCTTTGGTGCTTTCCTGTCTGTTACTCTCTACATCCAGTTAACTGCCACATTGTCCTGCTGCTCTCTCCACAACATGTCTCATTCACACCCTTCCCTCTACTTGCCCTGCCACCAGCCCAGCTGAGGCCCTCATCACCTTTCCCTGGATTATTGTAAGAGCCTCCTAACTCATCTCCCTGCCTCCAGTCCCACCCCTCTCCAATGGGTTCTCCACTTGGCTGTCAAAGTAATCTTTCTAAAGCACAGGTTTGGCCATGCCATCCTCTTCCTCAAGAAGCTCCCAATGTTCTCTTTCATCTCAAGGATAAAACACTCTGTTTTGCAATTAAGCCCTTTAAGAGATGGATCCAATCTATTTTTTCCAGACTTATTCTATGACTCCTCCTTTGCACTCTCAACATTCCAGAGAAATTAGCCCATTTATTCTTCCTCATACCCCACCTTCCATCTCCCACCGTGACGCCTTTCCACAGGCTAACCCCCATACTTGGAATGTTCTTTCCTCTCACCTCTATCTCCTGGAATTCCTCACTCGCCTTCAAGACTCAGCTCAAATGTCACTCTCTCAGACTGAAGCTCTTCCTGGTTTCCCCACGTGATAATACTCTCCACATTATTTTGTTTTTATTCTGCATATATTTTGTATTTACTTAACTATGTATATAGTGTTCCCTCTATGTAGAATGTAAGCTCTTCGAGGGCAGAAACTGTTTTCATTTTTGTTTTTGCGTGGTGTCTGGCATGTAAAAGGAGCATTGTTGAATTGAATATCTGTGCTTCTTAGGCGAAGGGCAATCAGGACAGCGCCCAGGCATTGACACATCTATATTCCAAGGTGGTTTTCTTTCTATCTACATATTATCCAAATTCACCACCAACACGCCACGTAAATGTCCCATCATGGTAGGAGGTAATACTGGGCTCTTGAAGGCCACACAAACAGTGCACAAAATTTGGCAAGTGATATCAGGCTAGATGGCTCCAAGAATAGGCTAGTGATGGGACTGTATGTCTGTTGTCAAGGAGCAGTTTAGAAAGGTTCATTACTGGGTTGGCTACAGGTGGATGATGTTTTCTGATCTTGGCAACCCTTGTCAATGACCTGCTGACATAACAGGGGCCTGCAATGTACACTAGTGTCGTGTGGTACACAAACAAGATTGGAGATTCTTGAAATATCTAAGTGTTGAAGTATAGTTCAATCTACAGAGAACTGAAGATTCTACTAAGGACAAAGAGGACAAGAACACAATTTCTGTTGTTGTTGAGTTGTTTCGGACTCTCTGTGACCCCATTTGGGGTTTTCTTGGCAAAGATAGTGGAATGGTTTGCCATTTCCTTCTCCAGCTCATTTTACAGATGAGGAAACTGAGGCCAGATTTTAACTCAGGAACATGGATCTTCCTGATTTCAAGCCCAGTACTCTACCCACTGTAACACCTGGCTGCTACAGAACCTACTTTACAAACAGTCAATGAGGAAGATTCAATCAGTTGGTAAGAGCATGGTACTAAAGTAAGTCCTCAACCATTCAATCATTAACCATATTTATCTACTGCACAAAGATCTATAATACTGTGCTAGACAATGTGAGAAAATTAAATTTGCTTTGTTCAATAGTCACAGGCTGAACCTCTAAGTCCAGCAAGCCATTTCCTAAATGCTTATCACTGGTCTTAAGAGGTATAAATGAAAAAGTGTGGATGAATAAATTTGTCCTCACTACTGACTAGCAGAATCATTTTTATATACCAAGAATGACCTATTAGTTTTGGTGTATGAGCCAAACGCAATTCAATAATAGCCAGTTATATGGAATTGATCTAGAAAATTTCCCTCAATACAGCAGAAATAAGTATTTTCCAATAAAGCTGAAATAAAGGTGTTGTTGTTATTACTGTTTTAAAGGGCAAATAGTTTGGGCTTTAAAATACTGCTTTTCCTTGGCATAAGATAATATAGGAAGGAAAAGTACCACATACATTTCAGCTAAATGTGACCTGTCTTCTCTGCCCCCTCTACGTGAACATGACAAAACTAGCTAGACTCACCTGAAGGACCCGCTAACTCTATTTTGCTCCTCATTTTGTCCACACAAGACCTTTTGTCACTTCACACCCTAGGCTAGCCATGAAATTACTTGCTCCTTCTCTGTGTAACAAATGAACTGTTTTCTATACCTGTAAAGGATAAAGGTACCTCTCTACAGTCTCTTCCTCTCAGTAAGACCAAGAGGAAAAAGGTTCATCATGTGCTACTTTCCAATACCATAAACATGTGAACATTAGGAATAATAAATATTCACTGTGTTTGTATGCACAGAACTAAATACATTTCTTTTCCTAAATCTGTAACTTAAATGAGATATGGTAGGACATAGATTTGCTTATCTTTTCACGGGTACCTTACAACACTTAGCTCTGATACGATTGACAAATTCCACTAAAGCAGGACAGTATAAGAAAAATGAAGGATTCACAGAATATTTATTGATTGATTACTGTGACAAATTGCTGAGTCACAGCATCAAACAACAAATATATTTTGCAGAGGAGCAAAACTATTTTGATTAATTTCTTTTTAAATCAAATACACTAAGGCAAACAGTCTGCATCTCTAATAGTGAAGAAACAAAACAAATTGAAAAATACTTAGTAATAATTAGTTTACTACTTACTTTTGTGTTGCAAGAATAACATTGAGTGGCATCTGCTTGTAAAATGGAAGAAAAGGCCTGAAGGGAAAACAAGGCAATACAATTAAATGGGATTTGTGACTTGGGGTAGAAGGTTGATGACATAATCCCTAAGGTTCCAATTCCAAGATGCTGTGATTCACATATCAAATATGGTAACTCTGGCTCTCTCCAATGCCTTGGGGGCAATTTCTTAAAAAAGGCCTTCTGCATACCATTTCGCATTCTGTCCCAAAGCTCATCTGTACTGGTTTATGTTTACATGAAATTACAAGCTTGTTCCCTCCCACATAGGAAGATCATGTCTAAGAAGAGTTTTACAACTCTTCCTTAAAGTCTAGAATGTTTGGAAATGGAAGGGGAAAGACATCCTGAAAGACAGCAAGACAATCCATCCCCAGTTGCAACTGAGTTTCACAGAAAAAGATTGCTTAGAATAACAATATTCATTAAAAATTTACTTTCTCAAGGGAGTTCAGGCAGACAAAGACTCAAGATTTTACCTGTTCCAGAACAGATTCTACAGGAAACTCAGAGACATCTTTTGATTCAACTGAATTACACAGTAGCCAGTTTATGGCTACCTTTTTGAGCCATGGCAAATAGACAGACTGAATCTTTTACTCCTGCTTGGATTGGTCATATTCACGGAGAAAGCCTATGTATACCACTTTCTAGTCAGTTCTAATATTTTTCCATCTTCACTGTCCAAGTCCCATACCGTTCTGCACCCTATTTCATTTTTCATCTGCCTAAACTATTGAACCCATTGTAAGCTATAGGGAAATTCCTTCCTCTCATTCTATGCACACATATTCCAATAGACTATAATTGCCAGGTAAGGTTCATGTAACATTAATGTTGGTTTCTTACCATTCAAAATATTTGTAGCGATTCTTTCCAGTAACCTGAGGATCTTCATCAACTTCTTTAGGCATCTTAAAAGAAGGGTCAGCGCTAAAATGAAGTAAGAAAAGAACATTCAGATCTGGAATAAGAATACTAGTTGGCATTTAATTTTTTATAATGCCTTATTCTAAGAGATTATTCCCCCATCATTGTGACAATCAATAAGCTTTATTAAACATCATTATGTGTCAAGCCCTAGGGGATACAAAGACAAAACCAAAATAACTAATGTCCTTAAGGAGTTTACATTCTATCAGTATTCCATATAATTCCCCTGTATTATTCCATATTTCTTTTTTAAGTTCAGATACCTATATCAAACTTTTTGTAGGTAAATTATGTTGTTATGTATGTGCTTAGGGTGATATTTGGTTCTCCTGATATGCTGCATATTTTGGCTTCTAAAAATCAGTCATAGACAGTTAAAGGAGTCACATGTCTAAAAAAAAAACTACCATGCTCAAAATTACAGGGAAGCAGTGGTCCAGATAGTTCTTGACTTCATCATGGAATCTGTGTAGATGTGCCTCTGGAAACCATGACTACTACCAGTCATGGGCACCTCAGGTTGTGGCTCTTAATATCTAAGTGAAATATTTCACAGTCAAGATTTAGTAATTCTACAAGTGAGTGGTGGTTATTGTACTACTACCGCATGATCGTTCTTGGCAGGCAATGATCCAATGGGGCAATATGATTATGCAATAGATTAGCAGAGAAGAAAAAATGTATTAACTCCCACAGCTGGAGGAATTACTATATTTTGAGAGTTTTTAGATCCTCTTCTTGAACATAAAATACTCTAGAATGATAGGGTAGTCTCAGCTATTTATTAGAGGAAAGATTTCTATAAATAAGTGGGAAGCAAAGTTGAAAAAAGCTTAAGTTATAAAAGAATCTCAAATAAAGAATTTCTATTCAAAGAACCACTAGTTTAATAACAGATAACATATAGAAGGTATTAGTGGCAAGGACTAAGAGAGCAAATCTTGGAATTGGCCCAAGTTCACCTTTAAGATAGAGTGAACAAAGGGAAATAATGTTTATACTCCACCACATACCACAAGATGAGCCACGAGGCTCTGAACCCAATTGCTGTCCATATGCACAGCAAACATTGGAATTTTGATCTTTATTCAATTTAAACAAAATACATAGTATGACTCAGTATAACAAAGAAATGTATCAGCAGGCTAAATAAATTATATCTTGCACATATATTATTCTTTTCAAACTTATGTTGATATTGTTATTAATATGATAAAATATTTTAAGTAGTAATGATTCCATAAAAGCTTTCTGTCATGATATATTTTTACTTGATTATTTAGTACTTTCTCAATATAACTATTTCATGTCAGGGTCCTAGAAATATTCTAATAATGCAAAGGGGTATCCATACTCAAAAAGGTTAGGAACCACAATGTTAATCTGAACATTTAGGATCATTGCTACAGCTGTGTTGGAAGTTATCTAGTCTAACTCCTTCCACTTACAAACAGGGAACCTGATGCCCAAAGAGGTTAAGTGACTTGTCCACTGTCAAAAGAAACAGCAATCAGCAGAACTGGGATTCAAGTCAAGCATCCTGTCCACTGTACCCCGTAGACATCAGACACATAGAATAGTCTAACAGGAATTTGATGATGTACTCTCTCATACTTGTGCTTCTATAGCATCCTTAATAAGAGGAAAGGAACAGACAGGGTGATCTCATTACACTCTCTTCCTTGACAATCCTTTTCATTCCTGCAGCTTTAAAGACTTCTTCTATATTGATGGCTTCTAAATCTAAATATCTCTCACCTAAACCTGTTTTTTTAAGTTCCAGATCTGATTCCCAGCTACCCATAAGACACTGGAGACAACATGGTACAGTGGGAAGAATGCTGAATTTAGAGTCAGAGGACCTGGGTTCAAATCCCAGTTCTCCCACTTATGGGCAGCTTCAATCTGTTTCAACTCTAAAATCATAACTTTATGATCTCTGCCTGGATATCCAACGAGTACCTTAAACTCACCAAGTCAAAAACTGAGCTCATTATCTCTCCTATAAACCTTGCCACTCTCCTTCTAACTTCACTATTTCTGTCTTTGACACCACTATTTATCTAGTCTTCCACATGTGCAAACTTACAAATATCTTTTGACTCTTTTCCTTCCTTCATCTTTGATTATCTTATCAATTACCAATTCCTGTCAAGTACATCTCTGAAACATGTCTTGCAGCTGTCTAATCCTCTTTGTTTCTTACTGTTACCACATTAATTTTCACCTCTGTCATTACTACAGACAACTGAGATAGCTTCCCAACAAACTCTTCCACCTAGAATGCAAAGCCTATCACAGCCTTACTGACTTCCCATGTACTCCATGTTCAAGGCAATTTGGATGAATCTCTGTCCCCAAACTCTGTGTTTGTATGCTTTGACTCACATTAACCCTAACAACTCTGTAAAATAGGTGTCATTAAAATGATCCCTGTTTTATAGATGAGGAAACAAATTCAGAGAAATTAAGGGCACACAACTGAGGCTGAACACAAACCCAGGTCTACCTATCTCCCAAGTCCAGTACTCCATCCACTGTCATACTGTTCCCAAATATAAATATATCATTAATTAAAATAAGGACAGATTTTAACTTATGAATGAGATTTCCAAAGTCTCTAAGTTGTTTTTATGGATTTAAACACATTTTCCCATGTTCCCAATGTTATACAGAGTGATGAAATGCCTAGGCCAGTCCACAAAAAAACTATTTAATTCATAACATACTTGCCACCCTGACAACATGACAGATTCCTCACCTATTTTAATATATCTGATACATTGCATGTATACTCTACTATTATTAACACGGACTCTAACTCCTACACAACAATGTTTTGTGGGCAAATGCATTTTCCAGTCCAACTCAAAATACTGGGAAATTCCATTTTTAACAGCATAAGTGGGAACTCTGTCAGCTCCAAGCCAATATTAGTGAGTCCTGGAGGAAGACTGGTAGCTGAGTTGGAGTCTGGGGCACCAGGAAGTATGAAAATCAGGAGCTTATGAGGTCCAACTGGTGTGAATTTCTAGAAAGACTTCTTCATCCTGAGCTTATTGTCAATCATGTCATTCTTTACTTCCTAGAGACTGGGCCATCTACTTATCTTTCTACTAACAATGCTCTAGGGAAGCTCCAACTCTGAGAAATTTATTACCAGTAACTTTTATATATGTTAAAGAAGACTGTGGTCCTGGAGGGTGAAAGAATAGGATCTTGCCCCTCTTAGCTTAGTTTTTTCTGCTTGCTTTTGTTCATTTTCATCTAAATCCTGAGAGAGTCTTGGAAATAAAGCTGGACTTCCTGCATCACAAAGCTAATGTGGGGTTCCTGGTCTCCCAGGTCCAGCACACTATCCCACTATGTCACACTGGCACTATATATAAATATATCAATAATTAAAAGAGAGGCAGCCTATAACTTATGAACAGTATGAATAGAGCCCCTGAAAGTGGTTTTGAAGGCAAAGTATTCCCATAAAGGGTTAACCCAACATCAGAGGCTTGATACAAACTCATCATCCTCCTAACAAAAGACAAACTAAATGTCTAATTAAGTCCTAATTAGATAGATGGTAGGTCTGTACCGCAAAAGAGTTTATCAGCCCCCAGTGCTCAGAATCAGCTTACTGAAAGACCTCTATTGTCACAGAGAAAAAGACACATTTACCTAGTCCAGTGACTGAGTCCTTTCTCACCAAAAGAACTGACGCTTAGCCTCTGGGTTACGAACACAACAACGACAAAGACAATTTCTATTCTTATGGGAAGGGGCACATTTCTGTTCAGATTCCTAAGCAGAAGGCTGTGCTTGAGGCTGAATAAATGGAAGCCGCAAGAATAGGCCACCTTAAACATAAATGACAGGAAGCAGTAGAGAGAGTACACAACACCTCAGGGGCAGCAGTGGTGACACAGTGCAGTCAAGAGCAGACCCAAGAGAAAACAGCACCTAAGAAGGAGCAGGCTCAGCACAGCAGAGAGATGACAACAACAGGAGCCATCAGTGGCCCTAATATCAAAGAACTGAGTTACTTAGTCATTCATCTGTGCTGGCCGCGCATATGCCTAGACCACACATAGGCATGATCCCTATGCGTATCCACTCTTCCCACTGATAGTGAGAATGATTTGTGTGAGAGTGTGTCCTGGATTTGGGAGTGAAAACATTCTATTACCACTTCTCTTTTTATGCTATTTCATTAAATGCTTTTGCTTTGAATCAGTTGTGTCCTCTGGCTTACTAGTAAAATAAATATATTGGAGAATGGGAGCTTTTGAGTGGCTGAAGACTCACTGAGTAGCCTGAACCTGCAATATCTTTTTTTTGAGGGGGATTGAAAATATAAGGAGGGCACCCCAAATGCACTGCAGAAGAAAACAACTTCCCAGTTTATACCTACAATTCTTCTCCTTGAAACATGTACACTGTCTTTTGGAAGTTTTCTGAGAATTTTTACTTCTGGAAATAAGAGTATATATAAGACTAAAAACAGCTTTCTTCTATTCTCCTCTACAATCCTTTCTCTTTTTTCACTTATAGGTCACACAGATGACCTATTGTGTTGATTAGGAATCTCTGGGAACACAAATGATTGAAGATTCACCTACACTTCAGAGAAAAACCCTACATTCAAAGGAAGATCAGCATATGTTCCCTAAGTATTTTATAACAGGAGCTAGGCAGCAGCTATGGGATGAAGACCTCAGATTGTGAGGGAAAGCAAAGGCCAGAGACCATGGAGCCCAATGCTGGGACTACAGAAACAGCTGCCCTTTTCCCTTGTCAATCAACATCCTGCCCAGGATTGGCTCAAGGGCTGAGGAACGTCTATGCATATGCATGTAGGAGGAAAGAAGCACCAGTGAGAAGGCATTCATGGGCAATATGGCATCTTCAGAATCAAAGGGAAAGAAATTTCAAGCAGTGACAGTGAGGAAGGCATGGAAGTTTCTGTAGCCACTCAGCCATTCAGCCACTCTCAGGTTAGGGGACAGACACAAAAGGCAAAATTCATTTATAATAAACCTACATTAATGTTCTAGTCTTTAAGTGCCAAACAATAAAAATAATTTAAAAATACTACTCATTGGTTCCTAGACTGAAGATACCCATCTTTATTATCAAAAAGTGTTTACTAAGGATGAACTTATGGATAAGCAAAAGGAAAAGGAACTCCAGAAATTAGGCTTCTCTAGTAAAAATGTACTGACTACAATTCTCCAAAGAATATATCTGAAAATTATTACAAGAAATGTAGTAGCTGCTTAAAATTTCCCCCCCAGGAAATCTGAAATATATAAGGTAAATCACAGCTCCACAAAGTCTCAGACATTCTTATGTTCACTGGCAGATTCCTAGTTGGCCTATACATGTGTGTTCTGACCCACTGGTCACTCCTCTCTTCAGTCATCCATGACCACTGTTACTGGTTTAATGTGTTAAGGCAACTGCAAGATGTCATCAGGTGCCAAAGCAGGTTGGGAAAGAAAGTCTGAGGACAACTGGTCTAAGTATTACAATTATATGCATCTTAGAAATCCATTCATTTTTTAAGGTAGAATAATTTGAGTCAAAAGAACTAAGCTGACCAGAAAAAGGAAAACAATAGTGTGAGTAGAGTTTTTGAAAGCTGAAGTCACCTGGCACTTACGCTGCAAGTTTGTAGAAAGCTTCTTTACGTTGCTCCGCCCATCCTCGCCATTCTTGATCAACAAATAGTGGGATAGGATGTGAGGGGTTCAAAAACATCATGTATCTTGGATAATTCTGCAGGTTACTAAACATAGTTCTAAACCTGGGAACTTTTTTCTAATAGAAGTAAAATAGGAAAAAATGGAGGAAGTAATACAATCAAATTTTTAAAACATTTTACACACTCCCAGTACTTCATTAACCCTCATCAAGAGTAAACAAATGGCCAACTATATTATCCCAAGTAACTGTGTCATTACCACACAAAGGCCAGGGAATATCGGACAGTTATTCAATTTATATGATCAATGTATGCAGTCAACACGATAATTCAGGCCTGATTCAGGCAGTGAGGGAAGATGAAATGGCCTACCAATTGGTTTCTCATCACAGTGGCTTGGATATTAGCCTGTGCATGGTCCTTTGCACTTGATACTATAAACAATGGATCTGTAATAAGAACAGAAGCAGAAGAATAAGCAATATGGCAAATCTATTTATGAGCTAAGGAGAAAATGTCAAAACAACATAATATCTCAGAGAATGAATAGAAGCCTACAAGACTGCCCAATACTAAAGCAAGTCAAGTCCTCATGACTCCACAAGCAACATGCAAATTTATACTCCAAAATCAGCTTAAAGAGGTCAATGAAAATGGAAAAGGCATAGCAGGTTCCCAACTTTACCTCCTTTAACACCACCAACCCTACATACATACACAAACTAAGTTGCATCTCTTTGGAGATTATATAACCTAGGAAGTGTCAAGTACCCAAAAAGGGCCATAGATGCCCATCTGCCCATGTGCAAACAAAATAGCATTCAGTAATTTTTCTTTAAAAAATCATGTTAAGGTATATAAGCCTACTCCTTAGATTTAATTTAGAAATTTTTATGAGTGCCCACTTTGTATTCAGTGATAATCAATCAAAAGACATTTATTAAGTGCCTACTATGTGCCAGGCACTGTGGTAAGTGCTAGGGATATAAAAGGAGGCAAAACACAGTCCCTGCCCTCAAGGAGCTTACAATCTAACAGGGGAGACAACATTTGACAAATACATACAAAGTGAACTACATACAGGATGAATGGAAAATAATTAACAGAAAGAAGGAACTAGAATTTAGAGGGGGTGGGGAAGACTTCCAGTAAAAGACTAGATTTTAATTGGGGCTTAAAGGAAACCAGGTCAGTATTAGAACAGACAAGGGAGAATGTTAAAGCCATAGGGGAGACACACAGAAAATGCCCAGAGCTGAGAAAGAGTGACATGGAGCAGTGTCTAAAGAGGAAACTACTCCTTAACATCTGTAGAAAAATTTAGTAGGAATAATAATAGCTTATATTCATATATCACTTTATGGTTACAAAGCATGCTTTCTATCATGGAGTCACTACAAATTCAATCATCTGCAAGATAGCCAAGAATCTGAAACAACCTCTGAGCAGCTGGAATATGCCATAAAAACCTATGCAATAAAGCTCATGAACTTTATTCACAGGAAAACTCATCAGGTCTTCACTGCGAACCTACTCACTCTTATTTTATGCACAATTTAAATAAGTCTGGCTTCTCAGACTATACTAGCAAATTAGAAACAACAAATTAAGGAGAAGTGTGGTAATGAGATGTGACTAGAAGCTGGCCCAGAGTCAGTAGTGAAAAATAACTGCTTTGTAAGAGGATATAGAAAAAAATAACAACAATAAAAAAACAGATATAAGACCCCAAAAAGTAAAGCCACATAGGACCATTGGGTGTGTTTGTATGTGGGAGGGAATAACGTTATATTCAACAGCCTGAGGGTATGTCTGTGTTATAACTCAGTCAAGTAAGATCATGTCGTCTTCCTCATTATTTACTGTTTAGGACAGAGAAGGACATAGACCTAATTTTAGAAAGATATCCAACAAAGCTTAGAACATTAAGTAGGTGCTTGATAAACGCTTATGGCCTAAGTGGTGTTTCTGGTGAGTTCTCCATGTGCAATAACTCACATTGCAATGCTCACCACGTATTTCGTACATTCTGCTGCTGCTATGGTTTCCATTGGCCAGTGCGGTTAATTTCATCTAAACAGTCTCCATCTTCCCCCCGTCACACACACACACACACACCCCTTGAATGGCCTGGTCTTATCCCTGGGAGTTCATTAACTTGACTGGCCAGTATTCTCCTAAGAACATTATTTATTTCACAACACATTGCATGAATTATGTCCAAAAACAGGCCAAGTACTGAATGGACCAATTAAGTATTTCTATAGCCTTTAGCAACACTGTTAAAAATAGCCAAGTGAAGAAGTTTCAAGACAGAGGTCACTGGACTATGTGGTACCTGCCCTTAAAAAGCAACTGATCTGAAGTTAATTGAACTTCTAGAGATAGATGAGTGGGATCTGGGGTAATTGAGTAAGAATCCCAGCACAGGACCATCTGAGAGATCACCAACAGCCCAGATGCAAGAAAACCCACCTTACCCAGCGGCATTGGTGATGTCTGACAGGTCTATGGTTTATCAACAACATTAGGCTGTATTCTTGTTATATCATTATAACCCATCTTCTTATTAACAGATATATGATGCTACCTAAGTGATATCATCATGTGAGCATCACATGTGTATGTGTATACATGTGTGTAACATAGCAAAGCCAGGAATGAACAGCCTGTGCATTCAATGGTAGCATGCAGTTGACAGAGAAACTAGGGGCAGATACCCAGAATGTTAGGTAGAGTCCCTGTGAAAGATCTCTAGAAGAACATGAATCTAATTGCACAGGATGGGAAGACATGGAAGTGTTTTGATGTGCATCAGAGAACAGACTATTGAGAAAATCAAATTGATATTGTCTCCATTTTTGTAACTGTATCACCAGCAACATTTTGTATACTGTCATGTTTCTTTGTCTCTGAGTTAAATTCAGAAATAGGTTCAGAAGTTCAGCCTTCATCTCAGAGCTAAATTGTCTCATAAATGACCTTAATTCAAAGAAATGTATTATCTCTACACATCTTACTGCCCATGCACAATTAAGGGAGACCTGTTATCTCAGTAACAATTCTTGCAAGATGCAGGTGGGGCATCAGAAAGTCTGTTATCTCTGTACCACTAATAAGCTCTGCAGGTTGCACATGGGATTCATAAATCAATTAGCATTCCTTAAGGACAAAAAGGGGTTGCTACTAGCCCCACATTGCTGATTTCCAGCCAATCATGTTGTCCCCTTATCTACAATGCTAACAAATCATATTGTTTTCTTTGGGCTTTGTAACCAATCATACCTTGTTTCCTGTCTGAGAGGTTTCCACCTATGAAGTCTTGTTCTTTGTTCTCTGCTTCCCCACTCCCACAAAAAAAAAAGCCAACTATAAAAAAGGCTAGGTTGTTTCACCTCGTTTTCTTGCAGCTTACTGAGGAGCTGAGAGACTTCCTTTATTGGTAATTGCTAGCTTTGCCAATAAATTGAACATGCTTAGAATTTTATGCCTCAGTTTAACTTAATTTTCATCTTAAATGGCAATCATGAAGGGAGTAAGGAAGGGATGCTGGTCTCTGTAACATTTTCTTAGGGGAATTCATGAGCATTCCTGGGAAATTTTGCCCTGAAGAATTTCTCCATAGAGGATAGTACCAAATATCTGACTCAACCCTCAGTCCCAACTCTTCTGAACTGAAGGCCTACACACTATTGCGAAAATTGCAACTCTGCTTATTTGTCTTGGTGTACTGTTTATGTTTAGTGTGACTATTTGGCAAATAGAAAATCCAGGAAATCCCACTAAAGGATCAACACCCCTTTAGGGAAATCAATACTGAACATTTGGAAAATTTGTCTCTTGGGGGGGGGTTCAAGCTGGTAGAGAAAGTGAACTCTTGAAAAATTTTCTTCTTCAAAGGGGTTCCTGGTCCAAGCCAGGAGGTATAATAAGGGACACTTCCCATTTGACAAGGGGTTGGGGAAGCCCAGAAACAGAGAGAGAGAGAGAGAGAGAGAGAGAGAGAGAGAGAGAGAGAGAGAGAGTGAGAGTGTGTGTGTGTGTGTGTGTGTGTGTGTGTGTGTGTGTGTGTGCTGGTCTCAAATTTGGCCTGCAAAGGGACTTCTACTTCTGTAAACTGATTTTTAAGTGTTCTTATGTCATGTTATCTGTATTTTGTAATTCAAACTACTTTTTAGATTGGACCTGGTCAGCCAAATACTTTTTGCCTTCAGAAAAAAAGTTTCTCTCTGTCTTTTAACTTTGGCCAAGTAAGAAGACAGACAACAGACACAGACAAAAGGGAATCTTCATTCTCAGTTTGCAAAAATTTTTGGCATTGTAAATCTATTAGTGACTAATCAGAGACTAAAATGTAACTTCTCTGATGTGAATTTCCAAAATGTAGTTTGAATGTTTTTATAAATGTTGAAATGTTTTACTGAGTTTTGAGGTAACTGTAGAATTTAAGGAAAAATGAGAATAGAACTGTGAAAGTTACAAGGAAATAACACTTAAATCCTTAATCCCTCTATCCCTAGAAAGTGACAAGATTTATTGCTTTAGTGCAAGGGGGAATATAATTTTACTGATTAGAGAAAAGGGAACTGAAGCTGGTTTGAAAGTGGTATCAGTGTCCAAGTGGAGAGCAATTTGGAACTATGCCCAAAGAGCTAAAGAACTGTGCATACTCTTTGACCCAGCAATAGCACTTCTAGGGCTGTATCCCAAAGAGATCATAAAAATGGGAAAAGCACCTATATGTACAAAAACATTTATAGCAGCTCTTTTTGTGGTGGCCAAGAATTGGAAATTGAGAGGATGCCCATCAATTGGGGAATGGCTGAACACATTGTGTATGTGAATGTAATGGAATACTGCTGTGCTATGAGAAATGATAAGCAGGTAGACTTCAGAAAAACCTGGAAAGATTTACATGAACTGATGATGAGTGAAATGAGGAAAACCAAGAGAACACTATACACAGTAACACTGTGTAATGACCAACTTTGATAGACCTAGCTCTTCTAAGCAATACAATGATCTAAGACAATTCTAAAACACTCATGATGGAAAACACTATCCACATCCAGAGAAAGAATTATGGAGTCTGAATGCAGATCAAAGCATACTGTTATCTTTTTTTTTCTTTCTCACAGTTTTTCCCTTTTGTTTTGATTCTTCTTTCACAGCATGACTAATGTGGAAATATGCCTAATAGGACTATACATGTATAGCCTGTATCAGATTGCATGCTGTCTTAGGGAGGGAGGAGAGGGAGAAAAAAAAATTGGATCTCAAAATCTTATAAAAGTGTATGTTGAAAACTATTTTTAAATGTAATTGGAAAAATAAAATACTATTAAGTGGGGAAAATAACTATTAAAATGATAAAGATTACATTTTTAAAAATAAAGTTAAGAAGATCTGTGTTCAAAAAAAAAAAGAAAAGAAAAGAAACGAAAATGTT